AGACCAAAAAACTGGTTTTTTGTCTCTTTGAAATCGTTTATGGGTAATTTGTATTCAAAATAAAACAAAACAAAAAACAATAACAATAAAGCTGTTCAGCAAGCTTCACAGACATCTTATTTGTCTACATTTTATTCAGACGTTCAAAGTTCGATTGTGTTTCGAAATGTTTGTTTTCGATTTTATTTTTCGAATGCATATATATAGATTTGCGTATAAGCCGACACACTTATCGATTGTTGACTTGAAAAGCTGAACATATGCATTTTTTGTTTTTAAGGATGAGCAAAGTGAAACTGTTGATGTAAATAAATCTAAAACTTTATCGTCTCGCATTTTTAAAAATTTCTCACTTTCTTTACTCGAATATCTCTAAAACTAACTATATATGTCAAAATCTATTTATTATATATTATTTCTATATTATCTATATGTCTCCTATTTATTTATTTGTATTGCATTAATTATTATTAATTGATTCAACTTAAAGTTTTTACAAAGTTGCTTTTTTCTTAAGTTCAGAATTGCAAATGCAAATTGCTTGCAATTTTAAAGTATTTTTATTTTCCACGAATAATTCGTGGAAGATATATAAAATGAAGAAAAAACAAAAACATGTCTATCTTGATTTTGAATTAAAGGCAAATGCGTTCATTAGCATTCACTTATTTTCTTTTTTGCATATAGATATTTAATTAAGATACAATTATATTATACGAAATTAATATGTGATATATGCGGATAATTTTATCAAATATGTTTTGTTAGCAAATTTTTGAAACACGTTTTAAATATTAAAATGTCTTATACAGGTATATATTTTGAATTATCTGTTTGTGATTAAATTGAAAAGACTAACATTGAATACACGTATAGATAATACAGAAAAGAAATATATTGGGTAAACAACTATGTATATGAAAGTTTTGCTATTGTAACTCACAAAGGCTAAAGCTAAAGCTAAATGTTTTTGGTCCGACTGTGATTTAAGAAATTCCCTTTTACAAGCACAGCAACAGTAATTGGAGTTTGTTATATATGATGGTATTTTTTTTTTTTTTTTTTTTTTTTTTTTTTTTTTTTTTTTTTTTTTAAATTTGTTGGCTAAAAATGAAATAGCATAAAATTATTTCTCCACTGCTTCACAACTCTTATAAAATGTAGGCTACATCATAATTTCAGTTGATAGTAAATAAATTCCAAAAATATTTCTTATGCCGGTATTACAAATTGCATATTTGCATATAAAAGCCAAAATCCCCTTGTCTGAAATATGGCCTTAGCTAAGTTCTTCAAACATTAATTAACTTGCCTTCATCCTTCAGATCCATGAATTCCACAACGAAATCTTCATTGTTGAGCAGCTCTAAACTTGCCGACGTCACCAAGGCGTCGGCCGCCTCCACGCTTAAGAGTGTAATGCCTAAAATAGAATAAATATCTATAGATAGATAATAATTAACTAGTTAATAATTTACTGACCATTCGCAAAGTTATCGTCATAGAGAAAGGTTGGATCGTCAAGCGGAAACAGCTCGCCGCCCATTGATGGTGGCGAAACTGGCTCCATCTTGGGATCCCAGTAAAGTTCTTGCGGTAAATCCAAACTCTCCATTGTCAATGGTATTTTGCTGCTGATGAAGGTGGTCATATGATGATGTCAAATCGGAATCAAAGCTTAACGGAATATCTTCGGAAAATATTGAAAACGGTTCGATGGATGTGATGAACGCTGGTTGTTGTTGCGGTTGTTTTTGTTGTGAGGACGCCATGGTGGCTCTGAAAGGGAAAAGAAAAAATAATAATTTGATTAATGTAAATTAGCTGACACCATTTGTCTGACCTGCTCTATAGTGCGATAGGGCTTACACATACTGATTAACTAACTATTCAATATATTAGAAAATGCAACCAGACATAAACAAATCGAATCGCATGGCTAGACGTCAGCCGTAGCAGCTGATAAGCCCTTTTGCTGAAACCCAAGCGCAGGTGAAATACTAAATTATTTCGTTATCAAAATATTTTCGAAAAATATGTTTTGTTTGATTATAATCCTGTCGCGATAATCATATACTTTCCTATTTCTATTTTTAATTTTTGACCGAATCAATTTATTGAGACCTTTTGACTCATGAAATTTATTATTTCTATTTAAATCGTGCAACTATTAATTCTAATTGCTATGCAAAAAATAATAATAATAATATCTTATAAACAAATAGCTGCCTGCTATGACACTGGCAGCGGTATAGACGCGAATATATACATACATACACCCTCAGGGCGATAGTAGAGCGAAGCACACATACATATTTAACTATGTGTGAGCGAGATAGCATGTAAATATCATGATTCACAGCCCACTGCACGTGCTGTAGCATGTGGCAGGCTGAAGAAGCATATGCCGCATTTTGACGCAATTTCGCAGCGGATTGCATCAGCCAATTTCGCAGCTCCAACTGCTACAACTGTCCAGCTCTGTTGCATGCCACAAGCAGTTTGTAAACATTTCTGCCACGTTACCAAAAATCGACAAATCAAGCGAAATACACTCACACATGCACACTATCCCATAACTGTTTACAGACAACAAATCCGCAATTAGCTTGCTTGTGTGCATATGTATATATGTACGTATGTATGGCTATCAGCTTCTATGTGTGTTCGTGTCTGTGTGTTCGCGTTCATTTGTGTGCAATATTGCGAAATTGTTGCACCTTGTACACTTGGTTCAATGTTTAAGTACTTACAGGTATTTTGTTAACATTTTCATAACTTTGTGTGTGTGGGCACTATTCGTGCTTGTGTTTTGTTTGCGCGCAAACTAGAAAGCCATTTTTATGTCCATTTAAATGCGAAATGCACGACAGAAAATATGTTGACCTTTTTGCGTTTCATTGGGAACGATACTGAACGGTTGCTCAATGCTCCGGAACCAATTCGGCTAAATGGTTCCAAAGGAACTAATGTTAGTCATTAACAGTGACTCACTTGCTTATGTGAACGGTGAACAAAATAGAAATCCGGGCATTTTTGAAATGAAAATGAACCTTATGCATTTATTAATGTATATTTTTTCCATTAATAGTAAATTAGAATTAATACATATGTATTTTTTGTATCAAATTTAATTAATTTTATGTCATTCAGCTATTGCTTAGTGTCATAATACAAAATCTGTGTTTTGCAAAAGCACTGCAAAACACAAATAAATCATTTAGTTTTCAAAGAATAGATAATAATACATGTTTATTTAAAAACGTTTAATTATATATTTTCGGTATTGTTAGGTAACATCACTAACATTCTGTTAACTTGCCTTTCGTTAAGTGAGTAAACAGTTCTGTGACTGACAGCTTTCGTCATGCTGTTAGCTACATCTGACTCTCAAGCAGTTTGGTATTTTTTAGCCAATTTTGGTGTTGTGTAGTCGCAGAGACAAATTAATTAATATGAGTGCTTAAATTTCAATTAATATTACGTGAAAACGCACGCTTGCGCGGTAAACTCGTGTTACGCTGTACGGAACTGAACGCCACTTGGGCCATTGTAGACGCGCCCCTAAACTAGAGAGTGTGTGCTTACGATTGTTTGTGTGCGATGTAACTACTGTAGTTGTATAAAAGCAGAGGTCAAAAGTGCACGCAGGCCAGAAAAAAGAGCAAAATTGAGTGGTCAGCATTTACAAATTGTGACGTAAATGGAAAACAGCACTACAAATATGCCTATTGGTTGTGGCCAATTGGCCGTAAAATTCAACGAGCCTACTGTGGCCATTGTTTTTGTTATGCACAGCGTACGTATATCGAAAGCTGTGTGAGTGAGTATATATATAGGTATGTGTAAATATGTGCAGGCGCAGCCTACGCCAACGACGTAGCCGAATGTTGATTCTTCTTCTTGCACGCTTAGCCAGTCGCATTTAGCGCCAGAAAATTCCTATGCTGATAACGACTATACGTGTGTGTGTGCGAGAGAGAACTGAAGCTAGGCACACGACTGCGAGAGAGAGACGGGGCAGGCGCACCCGAGAGAGTGTAAGTGAGATAGAGAGAGTGAGAGACTGAGCGCAAGCTGCTGGCGTCAGCTGTTTTATGTTTTGATTGTGTGTGCAGGGCAATAATAAACGGAATCGCACAGGTTTTTTTTTTTTTTTTTTTTTTTTTTTTTTTTTTGCTTTTCAGCCTGAGTTCTTAAGTTGCGGCGAACCGCCGATCAGTACCGTTTGTGAAATTGAAAAGTCATCAACAGCCGCCGCGTGCCCAGCACAAAGCACGGAATTAGTCTACTAATAAGTCACACAAGCTTTTTCATTATCAGCCAATTAACTGACGTCGCATTTCTAAATAGTTGCGCTCTTTATAAATGCAGGCGTATGTGTGCATGTATGCGTATGTTTGTGTGTGAGTACGTAGGCATTTCTATGTGTGCGTGTATGAGCGAATTGTGACGCGTTAAAAGCGGGGCGTGTTTGCCATTAGAAAAGAAGAAGAATCAAAAACTAAGCAAAACAACAACAAATGCGATAAGTGGTCTAAACGGGAACAACAACAACAAAAAAGCAGCAAGTGCTAAGAAAATTTAAGCAAAACGCAATAAATGTGGCAGAAATTAAGAAAATTTGTTAATTAATGAATATCAACAAAATAGTAGAAAAAGCTAAAGTCAATTAAATAAAAGTGCAAATTGAAGAAACAGCAGGACAAAAGAAAATGTACAAACCGAAACCACATAAATTGTCATAAATAAACCAATGTGTTAATTAAAGCTTTTTTTCAAACTGAAATTAAATTGTTAAGTTTTATAGAGAAAATAAATCTACCGATGTTAGGAGTAAAAACGTAGATAATTCAAATTTACAAAAATATAAACATAAAATAAAAAAAAAAACCTATAATTAAATGTGCCAATCAAATTAATTGCAGAGCTAAAAAAATGTATTGCAATCACATAATGCATAGCATAAACGTGAGCTGAGAAAACCTCAGACTTATTCGCACCTGGTCACACTACAAAATCAAAAATCAAAAAAAGGTTAATTTTTATCTTCTTTAAATCCAACAACAAAGAAACGTAACAATTAGTCAAAAAAATGATGTTGAACAAATACGAAATTTATCAACGCACAAACAACATGTTCCAACAACAACAATTACAACAACATCAACAGCAACAACAACAGTTACAACAACAACATCAACAGCAGCAGCAACAGGCATCGCAGCAAACATCGCTGCAGCTCTCCCACTCGCACCCGCACGCCATATCCTATCTGGACAGCGCTGCCAGCAGCACCGTCGGCAGCACTGCAGCAGAACTGGCCGCCATGTTGGCCGCCAGCAAAGCGGAAAGGGAGTCCATACATTCGGGTCAATTTATGGTCTCACACTTTGAGGCCGAGGAGGCGCAAGATGATCTGGAGGATGATGGCGAGGTGAAGATGTTGGATCCCGAGGATCCGAGTCTCGATAAGCCCGGCGCCGCGACCAATACCTGCCGCGATGTGCAGCTATATGTGCCCCAGACAGTGGCTCATTTTCCACGCATGGACCTGGATCGCGAATGCGATGATAATAGCATGGGCATGAGCATCACCTCCCACCTAGAGATCGAGACGTCGCTGACCAAGCTCTTCAAATGCATGAATCTGGCCTACAGGTAAGTGTCGACAAGCCAAACCGAAGGCCACGCGCCAAGCGCGTGTTAACAAACAAACATCATATTTTAGCCATTAAACTGGGCCGAAAAGACGCTTCTGTCCGCATAATCGTTCCATAGCACATGTTGCTGCGACGCTGACGTCGACGGCGACGCCGACGGCTGCGCGTCGCTGCTCAAGTTACCTTTAGCTTTAATCGCTGTCTGTCTTTTATGCTGTGTCTTCTATTTCTGCAAACGCTTGCAAATGAACGAAAAAATGATTAACAAAAAAAAAAAAAAAAAAAAAAA